TACCAGTTGTGTTTGCAAAAACTGTTTGAAAAGATGGTAAACAGCCGCCTAGTCTACTTCTTGGAAAAGAATGATATTATATCGCCTTATCAGAGTGGTTTTCGAAAGGGAAGAACAACTGTAGATAACATGCTCCTCTTAGAGACATCTATTCGAAAAGCATTTGTAAGAAGAAGCCACCTTGTCTCGATATTCTTCGACATTGAAAAAGCTTATGATAAGGCATGGAGATACGGTATACTCCGGGATCTTCACGAGAGTGGCTTGCGCGGCAACCTACCAATTTTCATTCAAAATTTCTTGAACACTAGAACTTTTCAAGTAAGAATTGGCTCTGTTTTTCGGATGTTTTTAAACAGGAAGAGGGTGTGCCTCAAGGCTGTGTGCTCAGTGTAACCCTGTTTAGTTTAAAAATAAATTCTGTACTAAAAGAAGTTCCTCCCACCATCTTGGGATCTCTATATGTTGATGATCTGCAGATTAGCTGTCGAGGAGCAGACATGAGATATGTAGAGAGGCAACTGCAGATGGCTCTGAATAGATCCAAGAATGGTCAGACAAACAGGGATTTACATTTTCGAAACAGAAAACTGTGTGCGTGCACTTTTGTAGGAAGCGAGGTCTCCATCCTGAACCTGAATTAGTTATATTTGAATGGTACAATTATTCCAGTTGCGCCTGAAGTAAAATTTTTAGGAGTGACTTTCGACCGAAAATTGACTTTCCTTTCTCATGTTTTAAAACCTGAGAAAGAAGTGTCTAAAAACACTAAATATTTAAAAAGTGTTGGCGAACACCTCCTGGGTGCAGAGCGTTGCTCCATGCTTCGCATTTACAGAGCGCTCGTCCGCTCTAAACTGGGACTATGGCTCAGTTGTGTATGGATCCGCTCGGTCATCTGTTTTGTTAAAAACTGGATCCTGTTCACCATCAAGGTCTGCGGATTTGTTCAGGAGCATTCAGGACTTCTCCTGTGCAGAGCCTATATGTTGACTGTAACGAACCATCACTTTATCTGAGGCGTGAGCAATTGTCCCTTTTACAATATTTTAATATCTTATCCCAACCTGAACATCCCAATAAGCTGTGCTTACTTGATAATGAGTGTAACACTTTATTTGAAACACGTCCATCCTGCGTTCCTACCTTTCCTTTAAGACTTCGCCCTATCATTGAGGAACTTTCCCTCTCTGATATGCGCCCCCAAGCAGTACAGAACTTTGAAATCCCACCTTGGGAAAATTCACGGATTCAGCTTCTTGATGTTTTCAAACATCACGTGAAGGCAAGCACTAACGAGATCGTTTATAGACAACTCTTTGCTGAGCACAGGCACAAATATAGCAGTTATTATCCGATATACACAGATGGATCAAAGACAAATGATCATGTTGGGATGGCTTTTGTATTTGAAAATTACATAGAGGGCAGATGCCTGCACCATGCTTTCTCAGTCCTAACATCTGAACTGGCTGCTATATATTATGGTCTTTTGTATATCTCAAAGCTCTGCCACAAAAAGTTCATAGTTTACACAGACTCGTATAGTGCTCTTAAATCCTTGGAAGCTTTTCCCAACATGCAGAATCCTGTGGTAGTGGATGTTCTCAAAATTCATATAAATTTAAACGATTCGAGGTATGAAGTCCTGTACTGCTGGGTTCCTGGACATGTTGGAATAAAAGGAAATGAGCTTGCAGATATCGCAGCCAAAATCTGCTGTTGAACTGTCCAGTCGCCTTATCCCTTTTAGAGATATCTGCAATGTCATCAAGGGAAAGGTCCGAAAAAAAATGGCAGCAAATTTGGGGATGTTCAGCATTACAACAAGTTGAGAAACGTCAAAGCCTAGAATTGAGCATTGGGATATTGTTGGAAATCGTAAAGGAGGACGTTCTTTTGACTCGCCTCAGAATTGGTCACACTCGAGTCAACACATAACTATCTTCTCAAAGCTGAAAATGAGCCTGTTTGTTTTAATTGTAATGTTTGTTTATCTGTTCGTCATATTTTAATTGAGTGTCCATGTTTTAATAGTCTTCGCCAGAAATATTTTAATAGCTGTGACTTACCTCTCGACCGTTTAATCGGAAGAGAGGTGAATTGTAATTTATTTTATTATTTAAAAGAGATTGGCTTTTATTACCAAATGTAAGTAATTTGTTTTGAAGACTGTGTCTTGAATTTAATATGTGCTTTTTAACTTGTGTTTATATGACTTCATCCTCTGGATTTGGTACATTTATCTACTTGTTTTTATTGATTGAATTTTAATGTCATCAATTGTAATCATCCCATCTTGTGTTTGGCGCGTCATAACCATCTCTGGTTTTTGCGCCATAATCACTCACTCACTCACTCACTCTTGTTGACATTAGCAACCTTTGGAGCTCCCTTGTAATGAAAGATGATCATCCAGTCAGGGGACACCTTCATCGAAACCTCGAGAAATCTATCCAGATATATTTTTCTCTGTCGAAGATGCTGGAGACTTCCCGTGGATGTTTCAAATTTGGATTGAATATCATAATGGAAACACAGCATTCTAACTTCCTCTATTACTTTCTTGCAAAAGCTTAGAATTCTCTTTTTAAATGCGTCGCTAAGTTCACCATCTGCACTTATTTGTTAATGATACTGAATTAAAACACCGTTAGAAAGAGGAAAACGTTTATGTGGAAAGAATGCTTTCGAAACAGATTCCATCAATGTTACGGAGCTGGGAACTAACAAAATATTCAGAAAGTGTTATTAATTTTTACACAAACTTGAAACTTGGTACCTGAAACTTGAAGCACAATATTTGAATGTGACCATGTTTAAGAATATTTTCATATCAAGAAGCTTAGCAATTCAGCATTTATTCAGAAAAAGTTTCAATTCTTTACAACAACTTAATAAAGCATTAAATTTTATCATATTAATCAACTCTCACAAATTTGAATAGCAAAAGAAAAATTATTTAATCGTGCAGAAATCGATAGAAAATCCCTTTCTTTGAATAAAAATCTTTAATTACCATATCCAGGAAAGGTAACGATGAGTTTCACTCTGACTTGGGCTTCCCGAGCGTGCGTAAAATGGCATATTAAAATGTAGATTATAGTTCATAAAAAAGCAGTCATATTTGATTATTAAATCAATAATTTCATTTCCTTTTATCATAAGAAGCGTACAGCTTTTAATTTCTAGTAATTACGCATACTTAAAAGTAAAATTATTCCTCATAATTTTCATTTTTCATCTGCTAACTTAAAATTTAACAGCTTGAGTAAAATTTAATGTTGAAGTTGTTAATGACATATTATTTTTTATATAATTCATCTACATTGAGAATTGTAATATGCTATTTTACTACCAACACATTTAGCATTGTTTATTTGTTTTGACATCAATTACAGATTTCACACAATTTCAACTCTTATTTATTGGCAACTACTAAGATGAATTTATGTTAATACATATCGTACTAAATAGATTTGCTTGTAAACTACTATCAAAGACATTTAATGAAAGCATAGCGTTTAAAAAATGTATTTACTGTCTGAATGTGATTTACGAATATAGTGCCAGAAAAATAAAATTTCTTTCATTTATTATTGAAACTCATTATAAGGTATTTCTCCCACTTCACTAGCGCGCCTTCGTGGTGTAACGGTAGCACGCTGGGCTGGTATTCCAGAGGTCTGTGGTTCGATTCCCGGCGATGGCGGTTGCATATTTTTCATCTTTTCTGCTTCCAATTAACCTAATGACTCTACAACGTAATACAGAAAAATCAGTTTAACAGCCTGTATGAAGTTTGTTGGATGTGTAATATCTGGTCGTTTATTACGGGGAAAATGTTCATTTAGCATGAGAGAGAGAAAGAATTTAGGAAACGTATAGGATTCCAACCTAGAATTTACAGCTATGTGTGTGGAACATTGAAAACTGGTAAGCAAATAATCGCTTTAGCTCATGAATCAGAACCGTAAACTCAAGAAGTGTTAATTACCCTTTATTGCTCAAAACAGGATTAACAGATGACCCTTTTCTCAGGACGTGCAGAAAAGCCTCCGCCTTGCCTTGAACTCAAAATTACTAAGAAAATCAAACTTAACTAATCCTTAACTAAAACGATATAGTTGAAGCTATCAAAATTCTACAGGAGTTGGCCTCTAAATGCTAACTAAACGGCGAAGCTATCAAAGGCCTGAAATACGGCCGAGCGTAGTAACAGCTTAGAGAGAGTGTAGCCAAAAGGCAAACGAGCGCTAGTCAGAATCTCTGGCTCTCTAACTAAGTCAGTGAAACTTCGACTTAAGTACTGCTCTTCCTTCATTTAAATTACTGAGATTCTAAAAACACACTCTGGTAGGAAATTTGTAAGCTGAAATTAAACGGTACAGGAAAGTAGGTTTGACTAAAATAAGTGTTAAAAACTTGGGATAAACCTTACAAACGTATTACGAGAGATTGACACTTACTATTAAACTGCTTACTTGTTGTTTACCAGTGTATAACTACAGCTTTGAAATTCATAATAGCATAAATCACTAGTCTCTATATTAAATTATAGTATTAAAGAAGAATTTTATTGCTAATTATTAACTATATTTCAGTAAAATTTTAAAGATAGTGTCGAAATTATACACTGTATAATATGCAATAACATTTTTCGAAAGCTAAAAGACTATTCTTCATCATTAGAAAAACTAAACACGCTCTGAGATTTTTAATTAATTTTTTTCAGTTAATTTATCCAAAGAATAAAAATATTATGTAATTGCATAAATGATAATATTCTGTTAAGATATAACTTTACCGTATCTTTTTAATATCAGTTTATTTTATTAAGTATGCAGGCAATATTTCTGAAAAAACACCTGAGATTATTTTTTGAATGAAAATATTTACCAGCAGTTATTGGTTTTTGCAGAAATATTTACAAGATATTTTTTACAGAAAACTTTTAATGTAAAGACACTAATAAACTATTTAATATTTGATTTTTACAGCCAAAAAATCAGCTTCCTATTCATATTCTTTGCTCAAAAGGACGAGGATCTGCATCAGCGACTTTAAGTATTCTACTTCGTAGTGGTAGCAAAGATATGAGACTCATTAAGGACAAAGTATGTATTTGATTTACGATCCTCAACTTTTCTTTTCGGTTAAAGCATTACCTTCCTTCTAAAATCAAAATTCTAAAACTCTATCACAGGATGGAAAAATTCCACTCTTTTTGGCTGCCGAAAATGATAACAATAGTTTATGCCGAGAACTGCTTACTGCGCTTGCTAAGGAACAATTGAGGTATAGTTTAGAAGATACTGGAGATACAGTTATGCACATAGCCACGAGACGAAGAAACGGAGAGTTGCTGCGTTTGCTACTTAACAGCGGAGGAAATGTTGATGCTCAAAATGTAAGAAGTACAGAAGTGTATTAGTTTGTATTTTAAAATGATTTTAATTAATTTTTTAAAGTAATTGTAATCCTTTCCATCATTAAACATTAGTGAAAATTATTAAATTGCATCTATTTACAATTTGGTATAGTTTTATTACTGGAATAAAATAGCATTTTAATGGCAAAGAAATTTAAGAATTTTTAATATGCTTTGAACTCATACACTTATATTATATGAAGATTTCATACTTATTTAAATTTGATTAATTTAGGAGAAGAAATTCATTATGGATTTCAAATATTTTCTTTCTAACATATGTGAATGTTGGGAAATGTTTTCAAAAATAATTTAATACTTTACGTTAAAAATATTTTAATATTAATAACTGTTTTTAAGCACGTGTTAGAAGCCATATCTTGCTTGGGTTTATGACTTATAACTGAGCAATTATTTAGCTGGCGCAAAACGACAAGCATTTTTTATACTACGGTTATCATTTGGAATTTAATGTAGGGCATATCCAGGATCTAAATGTTGAAATAAGTACAAAATAAATAGGTTTTAAATAATCTATAATACTGAATAAATTTAGGAAAAATCTATTTTATTTAAAATCTCTCGGATTGTAATGAATCCCGATTTTTTATCAATTAAATTATAATCATTACATTAGATAAAACACTTCCTTTTTTTAATATAAAAATAATTTAAAACAAAGAAAATTTTCATAAAATCAAGCCTTGGTGGTGTATAACAAATATTTATAAAACTTTTGAAATGAACGCTCTTTGTGCTAGCAAATACGATAGTATACATTGCTGCACAGTTGCTAATGGCAGACAACACTATCACCCATAGCAACCACAAAATGAAAGGAAGCAAAATGTGGAAAATGAGAATAAGTGCGAGACACAGTAAGAAGAGGTGTGAGTATGCAAATTTTCCTTTCCTCGCCTGTTCATCACATGATAGTGCTAATAAAAGATTCAAAGGATTTGACGCGTGTGGGCAGGGGTATCAAGTAAAAGTTTTACAAGAAGGATTGAACTGACGACCTTGAAAGTTTCGGTATGTCTTTCCGACATAACTTTAATTTTACGCGCGGCCGTATCATCGGGAAGATCGAAGAAGGGAGAAAAATAACACATGTTGCCTGTTATTTCAACATCGTGCACATTGTAGCTTCACCGGCTGTTTAAGACATTTAAAAAAACAGGAATGTGTAGCCTGCGTCACGAGAGAGGTCGTGTTAGATGTACGATGCCTGCAGAAGATAGGTAAATTGTCTTATCGGCAAAAATAAACAGGATCACCAAATCTCAGCAAGTGGAGAATGAATTTTTGCTGCCGTAGAACAGCGGATCTCCCAAAAACCTAGAGTCAGACGTTTCGGGGATTGAGGACTATACATTCGCATACCTGTTGTGTGTGTCCCATTGTCGACACACCACCGTACCGCCCGTTTGCAATGGTGTCACGAACATCGCAGTTAGACTGAAGGGGATTGGACTTGCGTACTGTTCTTAGGTGAATGTGGGTTTAATTTGTCACCGAACTGTAGAGGCCTAATTGATCTAGCGTGAGAGTGGTACTACTTATCGTTAAAAAATATCCATGAAAGGCGCCGATATCCAAGATGCAGTATCATGTTATGGCCCGACATCAGGAACAATGGCCATACGCCTCAACATGTGGTTGCACTTTGGAACTATGTCAGATCAATGATATATTATTGAAGTTCTTCTGCTTCATTTTCGCCTTTTCAGTGTTGCTTTTAATGATAAATTTCTTTTCATGGACGATAACGCCCAGTGTCATCGAATACTCGCTATTCAGGATTGTCTAGAAAGCGAGAATATTCAACGCCTCGTATAGCTAGCAAGTTCATCAGATCTACATTCCCTTGATATTTGGGATGCTCTGGGAAGGTGATTTGCTGATCAAAAATATCCTTCAAGGAACAAGAAAAACCTCATCCATCCTCTGGCAATGTGGGATCAATTGCTTCAAGAACTGGCGGATAACGTTGTGCAAAGTATGACATGGGGAGTGGAAATTTTCATCGCACTCCACGATGGTTAAATTCCGTATTGGCATGTTACGCAAAGGTGCCTGCTGTCTTTCATATGAATTTTTGCATTTTTCCATACACAGCAACAGAAACATATTCGATGCTTCTGTATTTTCCTCTGTTTTCCCCTCTACATAGTGACAAAAACCTTCTGCATTTTCTAAAAAATAAATATCCTTTATTCTAATGTCCAAAGAGAGTGGCAACAATCTTTTATCGTGTTTAGCCTCCACTTCTGCTTAGTGTTATTCTACACTGCAATTTAGGATCCATCCTCAGCAACTGTCCAGCAATGTATATCATCAAAGAAATGTAAGGCTTAAATTGTTATTATATGTGTTTTCTTTACTCTCACAGCACGAAGGTTTAACGCCGCTGCATGTAGCATGTGAAAATGGTGATGCAGAAATCTTAAAAGTATTTTTTCAGTTTCGTGCAAATGCCAATATAACTGATAGCCAAGATCGTACTCCTCTGCATATAGCTGCTGAAAAAGGCTACAGTACGATTGTGGAAACTTTGGCTGACAAATTTAAAGCCTCAATTTTTAAACGAACAAAGGTAAAACTCTTTTCCATTACTGTGAATTAATGTACATATCACTTTTATTTGTCTGTAATTATTTCTCATAAGACTTAGAAACATTTCATTACACAGTGAGTTAAAATCTCGTAATACTTTCTCATTACTGCATTATTGTATATTTTGCATAGTAAAGAATTGTTTGGGATTTAAATATTAACACAATATTATATTTTGTGCATCTCATGAATTATAAAGCGTATACTTTCCTGTTATCAGTTTATGTATTTTAAAACAATACTTTCAAATTACATTCAAAACTCAGTTTTTGAGTTTCACAAAACTACTGTCAGTTATTTAAAATGTAATAAATCATAGTACGATACACGTCCCTAGCACCTTTTTTTTTCAACAAGAATATTCTTTGATTTCAAATGGCATTTAACATCATAAATTTCCAGTTTCCGTTTTATGGTGCAACGAGCACGTACCCTTTCACATCACGATCTAATTAATGAATCAAAGTCAAATAATTCAGGTTTCAAGATTAAATGGATATATCAATTAAATTTAAGACATGCTTGGAAATTATACGAAGCTTATGTCCAAACAGCTAAGTTTATGGTATTTATTCGCAACAAGCATGTCCTATGTGTTCGAATCTTGCTGTAAATATTGTCATCGAACTCATTTTAAAGACCGGGTCTCAAGTCTTCACATAAGGGCACTATTGAAGTAGAATCCTTCGGAAAGGTAGGTAAATTGGTAAATGCATCGATCTCCGGAGAGTTCTATCTTCAGCAAAAGTGCAGGTCATTACAGCTATAATTAATGATATTTTACCATATTTGAGAAGCCAACTGTAAACTTTCTGTTTACTAATTATAATTAATTATATCGACAACTACTAGCATGCAGTAAGGAAGTGGTTTCAAACAAACTGCATCCGGGCCAAATACACAAGCTAAAAACACATTACAGATTTTTTTTAACTTAACGAAAATTTGTATCAGCAGAATGCAAAGACTATTTTAACTGAATTTTAAATTTATCTTATTAGATATTTTTCAAAACATGCATAAACAATAATAATAACGCGATAACAAAAAGAAAAATGTATATTTATTTTCTACCTAAAATCTAAAATTTTTATCTCCAAGACATTTTTGTTGGTTACACTTTGTAATTCAAATATACTGAGTGCTAAATATTAAATTCATAGACTGACATTTATTTAAATTAATTTTTATTTGTATAATAAATCATTAAATAATTTGCTGAAATTAAACTAAAAATAAACAACTTATAAAAAATTCCTATTCAGAGAAAACGTTCCATATCGAGAAAAAATAACGACAGCCAATCTTGCTTATTAATTTTTTTCGTAACATAAATAAAAATACATAAGTTTGTATGTAAAAAAATAATTCTAAATTTCTTTATTCCTTACTCCCTCTTAAAATTTCCTGGCATTTTGACTCTCGTTAAGTTTCCAGCCTTGCTGAAAAATCACTGAAAATTATGTTCATCATGGATTACGTTCATCGGTCAGTCGCATTCTTTTCTTATTACTTTTTAACTGTGAAAACCGCTGTTCGCATATAAATGTATTCCCAAACAAAGCGAATATTTTAAGTGCAAAAACTCGCAACTGAGAGTATTTAGTTTTTGACAAGCACGGATAAAATTTAAACCAATCTGTAGCTTCAAATCTTTTTTTCAATAATTATCTCACATTGTAAATTACTTAGCGGTATTCATAGATATTCTGCAGCATTAATACGTTCGTGTTTAATGATAATGAAATCACTGTAAACTCGATCTTCAAATGACTAAAATATTAAAATCTTTGCAAAACCGTATTCGCAACAAATACATAGGTAGATCTATCATGCATAGGTACATAGGTAGATATATCATAGGTAGATCATAATCGTAGGTAGATCAGGCAACAAATACATAGGTAGTTCTATCATACATAGGTACATAGGTAGATATATCATAGGTAGATAGGTAATAGAAGCATAGATCCATAGATACATAGGCAAAAACATATTGCTCCCTTTCTTTGTTCTTTGTGTTGATTCAGATCTTTAAAGTGAGCTGTTTTCAATGAGAAACCTAACATGCCTTTATTTGGTTCTTGAAAATTTTACGAGTTACTATACATTAAAGTATTCTATTAAGTCTGAATGTAGTGATTTTGCATTTTCCTATTAGGCAATGCTTACTCAAGCGTCTAATTACATTTTCAGGATGGTAGGACTCTAATGCATATTGCATCAGAATCTGGTCATCAAGAAACCGCATTAGTCTTCCTAAAGAAAGGAGTTCCTCTTCACATGTCTAACAAAGTAAGAAGGAAAAGCAATTTCAGTAAATTTTATTTTAAGCTTGCTTTAACTCATTAAGTCACATATTCTTAAAGCATTATCAAACATTTTACCTGAGGAATTCATAAAGGTGTTAATCAAACAACGTTGACTAAATTGAAATATGATTAATAAAAAAAATGTGTTCTGCCGCATGAAATTTTCTTAACTGTTTTCAGCATGAAACCGTCTTTTGATTTTGTTTTCGATCCTATATTGACGTGTGAATTAGCCGCTAAATTACACACGGCTAACTGCATTTTCTAAGGAACTGTCAAAAGAAGCAGACTGGAGAAATGTAAATTGAGGCAACAAAATAATTTTAGTAGACAAACTATGAAATGATATCTCATATTTCGTTAATAATGTTCCTAACTAATGAATGGATTTTCAGTAGTTGTGTACTCTTGAAAGAGTCTGTGCTGCTTTTCTGTGTGTATAATTTCAACAATATTTGTCTCAATACCTTTAAAGTACTCTCGTACCTTTAAAGTACTTTAAGTACTCTCGTGTTCAAAATTAAAAGAATATGCACATTATATCGAATTTCTGGAAAACTAATTAACAGATTTTAACTAAATTTGATATGAATATACATTTATAACAGCGAAAGAGAATACTATTCAGAAATCATTTTATGCTCGCATGCTTATCAGTAAACCTCATAGTGCAGGGGAGGCATCCTCCACGTTGTGATATTAAACTAAAATAGAGTCTAATATGAGGTGTCACAGACAGATAGGTCGCGCAGTATGACAGCATACCGGATAGGAGGCAGACGAGGAATCCCTGTAGTGGTCACTCTCACTGCTGCAGCAAGGAAATTCTCAACTCCGTGATGGTTCTCGGAGAAGAATGGTGAGATGAAATTGCCCTTCCAAGCGAGTTCCGGACATGCTCTACAGGGTGACGGTCAACAGATCTGGCTGGCAAATCCATGCTGTGAATATCCTCACTTTCCAGGTAATCGCTGACTATCTGAGCCCTATATAGACGAGCGTTATCGTCCATTAAGAGGAACTCGGGGAAAACTGCGCCGCACTTGAAAAGTCAAACTTAAAGCTCTAATATCTTTTATCTGTACCTCATAGCAGTCAGGGAGCCATGTTCAAGTTCATGCAGAGGTGTTTTGTAAGCTCATGCAGGGTGAGCGGCCATCCAACGTAATGCCTGCACAAACCATTACACCTTCCCTCCACCACCGTAATGATCCTTTTCCCTGATGAGGGACGCGGAGAATCAATGTCCAAGCTGAATCTCGACTCATCTGTAAAAAGCGCGGCGCTCCACTCAAGTCTGGTCCAAAGTTTCATGTCATCTGCATCATGCTAAACGCGCCCTCTTGTGTGCTGCAATGAGCGGGATCCAGACAGCGGGTCTTCTGGCATGTAGCCCTGTCTCATGAAGCCTTTGGGAAATACTAGACCGTTAAACTTGGGTTCCAGTGGCAGCAAACAGCTCCCGCGAGGGCTATGAAAGTGTTGCTGTACTACATCGTCGCCCTAGTATTGTCAATTATTTAGCAATTAACATTGCCAATGTCTATCCTCATTCGTCGTTGCGGATCTCGGTCGATCTTATCCAGGTCTTCTCGATATAAATACAGTGCCCTGAAACTGTTTGCACAATTTACAGACAACACTGGGCGTTACTCTGTGCTCTGTAGCCACCTGCGCTAGTGATTGGTCTGACTCCAATCTACCGACAATTTTCCATTTCATTCCGTCATCCATACATCCGTCTCTATTCATTTTATCTGATGCCTTATAAAATTTACCCAACTCTTATGAGAAACCTTAAAGTCATGAAGGAGTACGAGCTTACAAATCACCGAATAACCCTCATGCGCTTATATCCCCTCCACAATCACAGCTCTATGTACCCTCGCGTATTTTACTCTGAATGTGTGCATAATTCTTCGGTGTCGTAAGTAGTATCTTTGGCACGATATGCTTCGTAAAAACAGACATAATTTGCAAATTCTCTTAATTTTACACGCGAGTGTACACATACATGTTCCTTGAAGTGTGTCCAAACCAGTGATAACCAGAAAGAACATCTGAAAGAAAAGAGTCCTCTTAACCTTTAGCAGCGGTATTTGAAGATTATACTCACAAATTTGGAAACTGTAATCACGCAAATACTTTCTAATGTCTGCTAATTGGGGGATTAGCAAAATATTGTTGTTCATAACGGAAGAAAACGCTAAGCGGGATTTACGTCTTTTAAATCATAATGGCAGATCCCATATCTGTGAAACGAAGAAAAAATTCTGAAATTAAATTAAATTAATGCGATATTTAAAATGCACAGCTATTCTTTCAGTAAAATTTTAAAATTGAAGAAGTTATTTAAATAAACCTTATGTTTTATTGGTTTTAATGACGGCTTTCTTGTTAATTCTGATTCAAATGTTCTTGGGAATGAAATTATACAGTGCAGTAATTTTATTTAGGATTTGTGATGTCAGAGACCATCTCACCTGATGCTGATGCTAATACACAGGTTTTACTTAGTTTTTGTTCTATATACTAATTTAAGAGCCTCTAAGAACGCGGAGCATTCGTGATTGTAACTTGCGACACCTCATAAATCTGCTTTTGCTAATATATTTTGAACTTCTTTAGCTTGGTGCTATTCTCAAACACAAGAAAAATCACTTTGTCAATATTCTTGAATTTTTTATGCATATATCGTATTATGTACAGATTATAATCGTAAATTAAATGTATGATAGTAAATTAATGCGTTAAATTTCTCCTATGAAATGAATGAACAAAAAACGTTTTAATTAAAGATAATAGTAGATGTGTATTGTAAGAATTCCGGCTTTATTATTTTTCATAGTTTAAAATCTTCCTACCAACAGCTAGAATTAAGTTTCATTTGTTTCCTTAAGTAAAATCTATTCAGAATATAGCTTACTGTTGAAATCTTTTCATTAGTCAAAATGGAATTTAAAAAAGGTTGTACTTAAATCTATTAGCATGGTGGATAAGGCTTGTTTCACATGCTCATCCTAGGCTAAAACCTTGGACAAGGTATGGATATTCGTGTCCTTACAATATGGGATATGTACTATCTTTCGCTATGAAAGTCCACTAGAATGGCTGGTTGTAGGAGAAGAAAGGAGTATTAAACCTTCAGGTTTTTTTAATTGGGGTCAGCTTGGTTGTACGAGACATAGACAGATAGCTATCGCTAGCTTTGCCTAAGTAACATAATCTAGTTCTTAGATAGACAGGCGTAAGTTTCCATGATTCCACTGAGAATCTTCCTCTTGAATCAGTATAGCTTCATTACGAATTCAAATTTATTATTCTGAACGAAAGTCATGTTTATTCATAGCATATAAATGAAAGTTTTGATTTTTATTAGTATACCTTGAATGAACCACTATGATGTTTAATAGCATTCCTTCAAAGAAAATTATAGCTTTATCGCAATAATCAGAAACGAATTAATTATTTTCACTATCCTTCAGTCTTAAAAACAACAGATAGAATCTAAATCTACATAGCAATAATGAGGGCATTTCTTCTGATTTCAACCCTTTAACTGTCAAGTTATTTTGATGATTTGGGTACACAAATTGTCAAATTTTTTTATTGGAAAAACCAAATGTAGCCGAAATAAACATCTCCCGATATATATTCGGGTATGACAATACGATGCACTCAAAAAAAAAATTACCCCGAGAAATACTCGGGCGTGACATTTTCGAACACCAGTGCTGTGCCCGAGATAATCTCGGGCATGACAGTTAAAAGGTTAAAAATGTACATGAAAATAAACGAAGCATGTTTTACAGCTTTCTTCTTTTAGTAGGTATAATAGCACTGGAGCAAATTGAATTAAAAGAAAAAGGTTTTATCAAGCTTTAGTATATTAAAATGGAGTGATAATTTATTAATTAAAACGTCTGTTACATATTTTGCTTCATATATTCTCTAGCAACAATGTAAATTCTAAAACTGTGTTCCTTTAAATTGCATTTCAGACTGGAACAAAAGCTATCCATACAGCTGCTGCCCATGGTTTTGTTGAAGTAATCCGAAATTTGCTAGACAGAGGAGAAAATGTTGATGCGACAACTCCAGTAAGAAATGTTTTCATTAGCGCTCTAGATTCTTTTTTGTAGATGAAAGGAAAATAATTTAACTGCGACTTTAACTGCTCAACAGATAGGTAGTTTCATTACTCTAATTAATTTTTTCTATGAGTTTTTCATATAAGTTAATAGAATCAATACTCATTCACGCTAAGCTAGTTTTTTTCTCCCCTTTACATAGGAAAACTTTACAGCGCTGCATTTGGCTGTGCAAGCTAATCAACCTGAAGTTGTTGAAATCTTATTGGGCCATGGAGCAAATGTCCAAATGAAAGCAGGAAAAGTAAGGAAACAGTTTTTAAAAAATTACTGCCGCGATATGTGTGTTCTTATTAGTGTGTTGCTTTTAAAATAAGTTTGTTCACGAAATAACAAGTTGCCTTTCCAAACAGAATGGAGAAACTGCTTTACATATGGCTGCAGGCGTAATCGATGGTCATAAATGCGCAGAGCTTATTATTAAAAGTGGAGCAGATGTGAATGCAAGAAATGAAGTAAGTACTTATCGCCAATCATTTCGAAATTTTTAATTGCTAAAATAATAAACGTTTTAGGATTACTTTATCTGTATGTTTTCTTCAAACGTTTTTCGGAATCACAGATATAATGTTAAAGAATAAATACATCTCACGCCTATCTGCGAGTCAGAAGAAAAATGTAGTTTTAAGAATAAGTTCCTCTCATAACAATGAGTTTAATTAATACTGCATAAATTATTAGAAATTGTATAAATTTTTTAGAATGAAATGTTCCCTGAATTTAAATTCTGAATAAATGAAACATACACTAAAAATTATGCATTTATAGGATAAGGAAATTTAATACATAAAAACTAAGAACAATGTAAAAATAAAAATAATCTGAGAATTAAGCTAAATCAAATCAAAAATTACATTTTTTTTATTTGAATGCTGCTTAAAGTAATGCATGATTAAATTTTTCAAATCATTTTATGACAATATGAAAAACAAAACGTTTTATTATTTATTATAATTATTAAAGAATTAAACCTAAACTGATCAGTCATCTCGGATTATGAGTGACAGTCCAGAATTTTAGTGTAATGTCCCTTTTCAGAATATCCCGGACTATTTAAACAATGACATGAATTTTGTTAATTCTTCAAAATGTCTTACTGGATCAAAAATAAGTTCAAAAATCGAATGCGAATTGATTGTACATTCTAGATACACGCTTTCTTGGAACTAGCGGTCTACATAACTAACGGTCTGTGAAAAGTATTTTAGGTTCCTAATCCAGGTGAATTCCGCGCTTTAATAATTAAGTTGAATGATATATAAAGATGAATCATAATAAAGTTAAACTTGTGGAGACATTATGTACTTTGGAAGCAGGCAAGATGAAAAATTAGCAACGCCTTCACCGGAAATCGAACCGCGCACCTCTGGAATACCTACGCAGCGTGCACAACCGCTACACCACGAATGCACGCTAGGAAGGCGGGAAAAATACCTTATATACTCCTCCTTCTAAAGGGCGACTGGGGTTTTTAGGGGACCCAATCGCCAAATCCTGGTTGAGGAGAATCATCATCCAACGTCCTTTTATTTCGGGTGCCACTGTAGAGACATTAGGCATTTTGGGAAGCAGGCAAAATGAAAAATTAGCAACGCCTTCGTAGGGAATCGAACCGCGGACCTCTGGAATACCAGCCCAGCGTGCAGAACCACTACACCACGAAGGCACGCAAGGAAGGCGGAGAAATACCTTATAACCTTCTGCAGAATTTGAACACATTACTTTTGGAATATATTACAGATTTAAAAAAAGTAGAGAAAAGCTTAACTTTTCTTAGAAACTGCTTTGATAAAAGAGAGTCAACTGATAACACATTTTTCAATCAAATGTGTAGAAAAATGTGTAACAACTGTCAAATTAGGAAGGCTCAGGAGGTCACAGATTAGGAGGTCCGATAGTGTCTATATAAACCGTCAATGAATGATTCCATGATACTGGATTAAGCTCAAGACAAACAGTAACATGTGTTTCATCGAGCCCAAATTATTATAGTCTTTGAAAGAGATAATTTGGGATCAATTTAGCGACAATTTGAAAATGAATATTTGGCTGCGCATCCATTATAGCATTTGAATCTCGTCGAAGAGACTAGAATAGAATTATCCTTTTTAACCCGATTTTCACTTCTATTTCAAATGATCGGAAATCGGCTTGGTCTCAGAGATAGCTGGAAATTGGTCTAGTTACAAGGTGACTATTGTCATCATTTAGCTTTACCGAGAAAATGTCACACCCGCCCTGCTTCTCAACTCTCATATATGCGTCGGGCTGCATAAGCCGTGATAGGTAATCTAGTGGAAGCCAAGTCCTCTAATCTTCCTTCCTTAATTTAATCTTATAAATTTAATATAAGATTTTGGACTGAATATAGCTTATAGACTATATTCATTCCAAAATCTTATATTAAATTTTGGACTATATTAAGCGATTTCTGCGAGAAGTCCCAGAAGCCGTTTCTCAACACGATAAAGCTATGCCATGTTTCTTGAGCTCGTATGAATAGTCTGCGTGGACTTGCTACCATACCTTGCCGCATCTCCGAAATACTCTCCAGTTCAAACTCATTTAAAACATGACTAATTGGTTATAGTAAAAAAAAAAAAAGAACTAGCTGCCAGTTTTAAGACTTAAAGTGCCCAGATAATTGTAGCGTGGCAAATGATTCCCGAAACAATGGTTATTGACCTCATTGATAGCACACCAACGTTTGTAAATGAGTATTTTTTCTCTCATGGCGAATCATAATAGCTACTAAATAGATGGAAATAATTTATATATCTGGTTTCCAATTTTTGTTTATTTGCATATGATTAACAGGCATATTGATCCTCCGAATTTCAAATTCCTATGTCCTTTCCTTCTCGGTGTCACAGTTCCAGTAATAAGCAGTGTAAATACTGTTCCCATATTCTTAAAAGGAAACTTAAATAGGGAAAACTGAATTAAAAAATGCAGTATACTTGACTGTATAAGCAAATTATCATTAAAATAAACAGCTAGACGTTAACAAGATTAAACCCTTAAAATGCGCGAAGCTTACAAGACATAATTTCTCAAAAATGTGTATCTATTCTTCTCGCTAGGAGGGTGAGACACCTTTACACAATGCTGCTCGTCATGGTCAGTTGAAAACTGTAAATCAGTTGCTAGAAGATGGTGCAGAACTGGATAGTTTATCTAAGGTAATTAGTTATGTTATACATAATTCATAGTGCTTAGAACTTTGTTCTTCCCTCTCCATTAAATTCTAACTTACTTACATTTTTAGCTCATTAATTTTAAGAATAATGCAAGTTGATTCCCTTACTGAATCCGTTCTAAGATACTTATTTATATTTCTTTTTTAGCATGGAGAGAGCGTTTTGCATGTTGCCGTCAAAAACTGTCATTATGAAATAGCGAAAAGTCTTGTTCTTCATAAAAAGTCTAAAGTATCAGAAATCCAGCTAATTAATTATATTAACCAACCCAATAAAGTAAGTAAAAACACACAATTACTTTTGCTATTATTTTAGAAAAATGCAATCTTAACGTAAGAAAATATTTATACCGAACATGGCAAATGTGCATACAAAGCAATTATTTTGTAACAAGTTGATCTTGAGATATGTACTCAGTACAAATCAGTTTTCCAAAAGAACTGCGATAATCAGTTAATTAAAACAGTTAATTAATATGCGCCCCTGAAAATTGATTGTTTATGGAACACTGTGAGACGGTTAATTAACTGATTAAATTTATTGAAACGAAAGTTCTTTTTTTATTTAAAAATGTTTTTTAGTAAATTCTAATAGTCAAATTTATTTTAATATTTTAAAAGTCAGATCTCATAGAAGGCTACATATATACCTATGTCTGCCTTGAATACATTTTAAATGTGACAGTTGGGATATATGTCCTTTTTATCAAATTAATCTTCGTAACAGAATAATTACATGCAATTAAAACTTCATATACATGTTTCGAAATACATGTTTCGTATTTCGATTCGAAACATTTCGTATTCTTCATATACATGTTTCGAAAATATATTTATTATTATTATTGTTTCGAAATTATTGTTTTAATTAATTAATTATTGTTGTTTCGAAATTATGTCTTAATTAATAATTATTGTTTCGTATTATTGTTTATTATTATTATTGTTTCGAAAATATACTTATTATTATTATTATATTTTTATTATTGTTTCGAAATACACATGTATTTCGAAACATTTCGTATTCTTCATATACATGTTTCGAAAATATGAGACCTCGGAAATCGGGTGTAACTCAAGCTTGCATGTTTTCAGTCCATAATCTTCATAATAATAATACAATTATTAAAAGTAACGATTTCGTGTTGCCTTTTCGGCTTGCAAAGTATTTTTAATGCCAGTTAAAAATAGATATAGAATTGTCTCCTTGAAAAGACAGTAGGCATAAAATTTAAAAGCGATTTTTAGAAGATTTCATGAAAAAGCACGTCTGCAAATGCAAAGCTTAGAGAACATTTTTAATCTCCTTTTAAAATTTAACTTTTTTTTTCTCTGCTCCAAAAATCTTTTATTTAAGTCTTATACAATATCGTGAAGTCTACTAACAGAAATCATAAACTGAAGCCATTTACTCTACGATTATTTACAGTAATATCTAAGAGGCTTTCCTATCGTTATCAAGCTTATAAATGCATAATTAAATAGCATATTTATTTCTCTATTCCTTTAGAAGTAAAAATACAGTACTGCAGGTTTGATATTTCTTTTACAAGAAATCATTCTCATTAATCGTAACTAGAGCAAAAATTTTTCAGTTATTTTATAAAAGTATTTAGAAATGAACTTCAGAATGCATTCATGAAATGATTGGAGAAGTTTTCATTTATACCAGTATATAATATGTGCTGTGTATGATCCCTGGAATCTCTTTCAAATATGGGAAAATTTCCGATATGCAATGCTTATAGCACTCACTGACCACGCTGTTGATAGTATTACTGTATTTATGACAGTTAATACTATAAAGCTTAAAATATGTACAATTGCTTCTGCAGTGTTGTTCAACTTTGAAAAAGCTTCAGGGTATTCATTAATTTTCCTTCTATTAAAAATTTTAGCTTCAAAATTAACTTCTTCTAAAATGCTAAACATTTTCAATAATAGGTAACTTGATACTGTTAAACTGGCCATTTTTGGGCACCATGTATAATATTTGCAAGCGGAAACTTATAATAAAAGTGCCTAATTTGTAAAGAAACAGAAGTGTTTTATTCTTTCATATTTCAAAACATACTGAGAATTTGCTTTCTTTCACTAGTGTGGAGAAACGGCAACACATTATGTTTCTTCAATTAATAAAGATCAAGTCCATTATCCAACAGAGGATAAAGATCTTATAGCTTTGATGCTTCAAAATGGAGGTAGCGTAACAACAGAAACGCAAAAAGTAAGTTATGATGAAATTATAAAATAGGTTTTAACAGTACATTAATTTAACTCGTGGAACTTACGAAAATCATATGACTCATGACGTTGAATTTTATCATGATTAATTTTTGTTGAAAATATTTCTGAAAATGCTAAATATTGTAATTAATTTTAATAATTTTAATGCTTTAAAATTATATAAATTAAAATTTTATATGAAGTACAGATAAATAGAGATAGAATTTTATATGAAGTTCTAGATAAGTAGAACTTTATGATCATTTATTAAACTACATTTGCCGTTAAAATGGGTTCCAACTTCGCACGGTGACTCGCATATCGACAAGTCAATTATTTTTATACTGTTTTTGAACAAATTTGTTTCATGGAAGAAAAGTGATAAACAAGTAGGTGGGCAAAGCTGGTACTGAGGGGAAAAAATATGGTCGAATTTAAAACTTATCTGTGCATTTTTAAGGTGGCACGTACACTGCCAACTTCTATGGAATCTGTACCATTACAGTCTAAGATAAAGTTTCCAGATGAAAGAAGATGAACAGTAGTGGTTCAGGAGCCAGTTTTCGGTGGGTCACCAAACGTTGTGAAGACTTTGTTTTTTTGTTTGTTTTGTTACACAAAAGAAATTAAAGTTCATAGAAAAGGGCAAAATATTTGGCTTTAAAACCTCGGCTTTAAGTATTGATAATTACAATGCTATTTATTACAATCATTAATTAATAAGAGCAACTGCATGCACGTTGTTCTCGATAAAATTTTCTGCAAAAAATGAAATTTAAAATTAAGCTTACGATACAAAACGAAATTGGGATACATTGATATAAGGAATCTTTTTTTTCCGAGCGACAAGCACTATTTTGTCTTATCTAAGGAATTATGTGAATACAGTCCTTAAATTCTCAAATTTTACTTTCCTTTACTCACAAAGATGTTTGATTAACCGATATAAATGGTTCAGCAGTTATTAAAATTCAAACGTTAAATAATGAATAAATGTATCTATGAAAATACAAAATGTATGTAAATGGAAAGTACATATTTTTTTACAGAATCAGGAAACACCCATTCATTATTGCTGCAGAGTAGGAAATGAAGATATCTTAAAAGAAATCATCGCACGATTACCCGCTTCAAAACTTCAAATTGCATGCAATAAACAGGCAGCAGTAAGTGACCTTATAAAACATTCCCTTTCTAACCTTTAGTAAATATTTTACTGTAAAAATTACTGTTTTTTTTTTTTTTTTTTTTTTTTTTTTTTTTTTTTTTAAATCTCATTTTTACTGTAAAAAAAGTATTAACTTTGAAACGGGATATATTTAATTTAGCCCAAATTTATGCATTAGACCACTATAATGGTCTATTTGAACAAAATTAAATGATTGTACTTAATGTTTACAGTAATTGACGCTATTAATTCGAAATTGTATCTTTGTTATCTACAGAATGGCTGGTCACCTTTGTTATATGCTTGTGATTCAGGGCATTTCCTTGTTGTTCAAATGCTGCTGCAAAATAGTGCTAGAGTAGATGTTTTTGATACAGTGAGTATGACCTTAAATTTTACAGGGTAAAAGTTTAATGCATATGTAATTTGTAATTTTAATGTTTACAAACATATGATAATTTGTTCACATAAAATGAAATATTCAGTTTTCTGTTTAATAATTACTTACTTTTATTTTATAAATGAACCACTGGTTTTTCTGTTACTACTTTAAAGTGTAGGTTTCTAGTTTGAAACAAATTTCGCTCTGTAAACGTATGAAATTTCAGTTTATTATTTGTGGAATTTAATTATGCGCGCTGACAAAATTCATTATTTAAAAAGATGATCATATAAATAGTGCGCTAACCCATTCTACCAATATATTTTACCAAGTAATTTTGATTTTAATTGTCCCCCTTGATAAATATGAGTGCTGAAATTCTCATTTTAACGTCTGTTAAATAGAGTTTTTAAGCATGTTTCACTGAACACTAATCTAGACCTCTAAGCTTATTCTAATTTTAAAATATTTATAAGCAGCATTGACTTTGAATGATATTTACTAAGCTGAACAAATTTACAAACATGTGATTACTATACTATATGCATTTTGTTCATACAATAAATTTTAAAAATATTTGTTTCACATTAGGATTACATAAAGTTTGTGTTCAGTTAAAATCAGATAAAGAAAACTGAAAATTTAATCATTCTTAAAAATTTGAAATTTTTAAAATGCACTGGAGAAATTATATTATAGAACATCCGTATAGCTATTATAAAGGAGCTACTAGAAACTGAACATTAAGTTTCTGATATTTGTAGCAATAATAAGCAAGTAAGTAAAAATTTGTAAATGAATGTAATAGTGCGCGTCATGCGTTTGGTAAACGATGCTGATGTGATGTATTTAATTATGGCAAAGCACAAGAGGGCTATCTGCCTAGAGGGAGGGATGCCTTCGTGGAGAACTTTCAAAGGGAAACTGGCTCGCATACACGTTACACATGGGGAAAACCACGAAAACACCCATACAGCCAGCCCGTTCGCGGGATTCGAACCTCGGGCCGAACTATCAGTGTTCAGCGACTTTAACCGCTCTTGGTAAACGAAATCTGATGTATTAAATTCGCAAAAAGAGTCAAAGGAATAATATCGCCACCTGATTCTGTAACCATTTGGATACTGCAGTAAAATGACCTACGTGATGAACATGTTCTGTGTTAGTAGAGATTTGATTGCAGGCAACAGTAAAAAATTGAGTACAAGTGATTCCTCTATGTATGCGTTTTTGAACAGCAAAATTTTATCAATAAATCTATTGGTAAAGTTTTTGGGAATTTACAATAATTTCAAAAATTTAATTTACGAACCATAGAGCTTATAAAGATTATAAAAGTTTTAAAAGGTTAGACATATCATGAATGCATGAACTAATATATGTGTGTACTACTTTGTCTCATCATTTGGTGTCATAAAATAAGTAAATCTGTTGTAAAGAATTAAAACTTTCCAATTTTTCAGAAAAATTCACATGATAATGAGACTAATATTACAATAATATAATAATAGCCGAATAACATGATAATCTGCATCATAATCTTTCGTAAATTCAGTAAATTCAGCGTTTGCGTAAAACCTAACCTCCACAGGCCTCTCATTATAGTTACTATAATACTGTTGCAAAGAGAATGAGCTTTAGGTGATATTTCTAATTTTCGAGCCCTTTGTTCGAATTACTAGAATAGCTGTTAGACCTTATCTATTAGAATAGCGTTTCTCAATCTGTGGTCCTTGGACCACAAGTGACCCTCAGAGTCTGACCTTGTACTTCTACTAAGCTTTCTAGAAAAGACAAAAAATGATGTTCAGATAAATTGCGTGTACTTATGTATAGCTGAATACCTTACAGTATGGAAATTACACATGACAATAGTCTATCATTTTTTTTTCTCTGAAAAGTAACATTTTATGAAATCTATTACCTGTTACCCTATTTACGAGCTTCCCACTCTAGTCTTAGCAACAAAAGTCTTAGAAACAAAAGAGGGATTTAAAGCATTACGACTGTAGTGCTTTGTACCAGCATACAGCCAAACATAGAACAGCTACCAGACTCATCTTCCTTATTAATGTGAATGCCAATATTTGTTTTAGTTAATAAAAATAAAGGTTGTCTGAGCTGGAACAGAATTGAATTATTAAAAAGAAAGATAAATTTTCTTCTATAAACTTGATTATCAAAATAAAAATAATAAATTTTAATTAACTGTATTTTAAAAATATAAGTAGTCTGGTAGTAAGTAACAAGTACTAAAAAATTGCTTCCGAATGAGACAAGAGTAAAATGGTCCTCCGAACATTCTAATTTATAAAACTGGTCCCCACTTAAAAAAAAGTTTGAAAAATGCTGTATTAAAATAATTGAACACATTTCAAAGTAAATAAAATTAGAAATACTTTCGAAAATAATAGAAACAAACTCTAACATATCTATAATGGCTAAGGAATCAACGGCATTATCAAAATTAAGTATTTTAGATATTTACCTACAGATCAAACTTTCGAAACCATGCATGATTTTTATAGATCTTCTGGAACTAGAAATTACTGCCGCTGACTGTATATATGTCGTGATAATTATTGCTTTAAATTCGTATGGATTTTCTGAAATTTACTGAAAAAAATTATTTAACTGCATTTTGTTCTAATAAGGTAACGTTCGGAAGAACATCAAGGGTTGCAATCACACGATGTTAGTAAACATGTAGTTGCCGAAATATTAAAACCCCACCGTGTATTTGTACCTCAATGAACTGCATGTAGTTTACAAATAGCACTTGCTGTGTGAGAAACCAAGCAAACATTTTGGAAACATTTTTCAGAGATAAATGTAAGATTTTTTTAAAAACTGACTATTAAATTTGGACTCTTCAAAATACATTGACGATCGATAGCCTACGAAAATTATCATTTCTATCAGAAGCTCTACAAAGGCGCATTACAAAAGCTAACCACGAGAACAATCAATGATATTAATAATTCTAAAACTTCTCTAGTCTGAAATGAATTTAAGATTAAAACCAACCGAATTTGACTTCCGATGTTTTTACAAAATATATTAGCACAGCAAAGTAATCATAATATTAAACTATAATATCCTGAGGAACTCAATGATGAAGACTTAAAAGCGATTTTTATTTGTTATCCTGAAACATAATACCTGTATGGCGTAACATGACCATGGCCAGAAGTAGAAAAATAAGATGTAACTATCAAATTTCATACCAAAGCATTATTTAGAAATAATAATTTTAGAGATTTCATTGGAATGGATTTAACAGGAAAATTGCGTAGCGATATTCCAGGTAGTAGAAAAAAAACTAAAAACTAAACAAACGATATATGTTGATTCGTGTATGTGTAGACAGCATTTCTGAAACTTTTTACCTTTGTGGAACTCTTTAAATAATATTCACGTTTCAGAAAACCTCTACATAAATATTACGTATGATTAATCAAGCATTTTCATAACTACATTTATCACTATTTCCCTGGGAACCAGTAGCTTTTTCTTGATAAATACAAGAGTTAGTAAGATTCCCGTTTAAAAGACACTGACGTATATGGTATACTATTTCGAAACAATTTTGCGGATTGCATTTATCTTTCTAACAAAAAGCAATCAATGCATAGATTTTCGTTACTTACAAATAAAATTTTATTTTTTCTGGTGTCTTTTCATTTTTGATTTCTATTGTTAGTAATACTTATAAAGACATTATTAATGCAGGTGCTAAGACAAAATTTATTCATCTTGTAAATAGATCATTTGTCTCTTTCTTTTAATTTTCTTTCTCAGTTGTCCACCGTAGCTTAGTTTGCAAGAACAAGCGCATACTGTATTTAGCAAAAAATATATATATGTTCAATTATTGCGTTTGTTACCTATAAGGTTTGTGGTCAACAGACTATTTAGTACGTTAAGTTATTAGGAAAGCAAAAACTGCAAGTGGGTTTTTCAACTGCACGTTTTGTTGGCATCCCTAGTTTACGCTTCATTTGGAGCTCAGCAAAGTCGTAGTCACCTATATGGTGCTTAAGTCTATTGCCAACGACAAGCGCAGTCTTGCTCTCGTTGCCACGATGAATTTCGTGGGTTTATTCAGATCTTATTGTCAGACAAGTGAGGTAAGTCACAACAGCAACAAACAAAGCAATAAGACTTAATGTGGTCATTTTTAGTTTGTACTTACGATGAACATTATAGCATCCATAAATATTTTTAAGGACAATACAGATATTTAGTATCCCACGAAACTCTATTTTAATGACATCTATGAACTTATATACTTTTTTGATATAATGCATCTTATTTTGTTTTAAATATTTTAGGAAGGTCGTGCGGGACTTCATTTGGCTGCTGAGCATGGTCATGCAGATGTTATCGAAATTCTTTTAAATCACAAAGCTTTCGTTAACGTGCGAACGAAAAAAGGCATGACGCCTCTACATCATGCTGCAGCACAAGGCCATACAAACGTTGTTAAACTTCTTGTTTCGAAGTATGGAGCAGCGATAGATGGCCTTACGTTGGTAAGCAATTTTTCTCAAATAACTACCTCAAAGAATGAAAGTTTTACCACTTTCATTATTATTGTTCTTAAGGCACTAATGCTTCTTTAAATGTTAAACAGCGCTTAAGGATATCAAATTCTAAAATCAAATTCACTGCATAAAAATTAGAAGAAAGTAAAGTTCCAAAATTCTTTATTTTTATATTAAATAGGCAATAACTAATTTGATTAAATATATAACTCATCCAAATCATAACTTCATCCATATTGAAATATTACTAATTTATTTAGAACAAACAGTCTCATAACTTTCTTAAAAATTATTACTAAGATTCAGAATGACTTAACATCATTGATTTTATTTCAATTTAAATAATCCAAAATATTTTTGAAAATTTATAAATGCATTTTCATGAGCTTTAACGTGTGTTCTAATGTTACCTAAAAAATTATATAAATTCCCAGAAGAATTATGTGTTTCCAATGCTTATTAAGTAATTTACAAATCATGTCTCGAGAGTTTTATGGCTATTTATAAAAGGTGTATTTTGTATTGTATATTCAGTGTTCATTAATCAGAAATTACACTGATACATTTGAAACCATGGTTGAGATTTCTTAATACGTTTCTACGACATGTGGTCTAGTGGTGACACACGGCAAACTTTTTCTTGTGACTTTTTCTACGACAAGTTTACCTTCAAAATGTATCTCACATCTGGGCTGCATATCTTTATACTTTTAAGCATAATTAATGGCTGGTACTCTAAAGATGAATCACATAGTTGAGTAGAAAAACATGCAAAAATTTGGACACACAAGACTGTCTAAAGGCTAGTTGCACAGTAGCTCACTTTTTACAAACTCATCTAATATACGATTTGTAACAAATAACAAACTCTAATTATAGTCAAATTAGCTTAAAGTTGTGAATCATATTTCAGTTCATCATAGCAAACTCTGATTCAGTTAATTTTGAAAATGAAGGCCCATTCCATAAATATTTTATTGCACGTATTACCACGAGAAACTTAATTCCTAATAAGGTACATATTTTTATTCCTGATTTTTAATGTTATTTTTTCTACAAGTGTATATTTACGCACTAAATTTCATACTTCTTGAACTTTGACTAAATTTTCAAAAACAGAGTTTAGACACTTTATTCTCTCTACAAGTAGCAATGTTTCATTTAGTAGTTCCTCAATTAATATTCCTTTATTTATGAAACCCGTTGTACTGTATACATAGCTCGAAACAACTGGGAATTTTTTTACAGAAAGTAATTCAACTTTTAGACGTTTGTAAAAAGTATTTTTGTATTCTCAAAAGTTATATACTGAACAGCATAACCGGTATTATGTACTGCAAAAATACAAAAGAATTCACTAGTAAGTCATTTAAAGGAAATTAGTTCCTAAAAATATTTATATTTTTTATTTTAAAATATAATATTCTACAAAGAAGAGAAACACATATTTATTTCAGAAGTTAGACTGAATGGTGAATCTTTTTGCGTCTACTTTGAATATATGAGCTTAACAATATCTTCAATTTTCTCTTCTTATTGGAAGGAACATTTAAGCTTATTTTGAATGGAAATGCTTAAATACACGTTGAAAATATTGAGAACTTGAATGAATGATGAATTTGGGATTTCGGTTATATTTTAGTTAAAAATTCATTCTTAAGCTAAAAGCTTTTGATTTTGATTTTTTCTTTAACCACTTCGACGTTTTCACCGAGACAGACTTTTCGATTTAAAAGGCGTCATCAGGCGTCAGAACCGAGGCACACTCGTTGTTGTTAAATATGGCTGCATCGTTACCTCCGAGAGAGACACGTTGCTTTGTCTTTCCCTCCTCCATAGGGTGGCGAAAACCAAAAGAATAGATTTATGGCTTTCTTGGTCACGTCATCTTCAGAACGTGGTTGTATCAGGATCATACAAAGCAAAGTTCACTTTGCTACTAAAAGGATACTAAAATTGAAATGCACTTTTATCCCTCTTTCAACAGACTTTTTAATGGGAACTATCGATCGTTTGTAATGTGCCTTTAGAGCATCGTTTTTATTAATTTTCACACAAAACACACAAAAGAATTTTTCTCGTCGGTAGGATACCATTCAACATCTGTACAGGTGATAAGTGGGCGGTTCAAGTTGATTTGGGTCAAATTTCTAAATAGATCTTGACAGCTGTTGAAAGGGGGAAAGAAGTATTTCTAATGTAAACTTAAGCCAGTTTCAGAGGCAAAATGTTATTTTTGGATGAAATAAAATGGTAGAAAATATTTGAATTTCTTAGGAGAGTGAAGTTGTTAAGTATTCTGTCAAAAGAGACTGAATAAGAAAATGAACACAAGAAATAAATCCTTAAAAATTCACATATTTAATCACTTGTTATAATTAAAAATTCCCTTTCATTTCAAAGAAAATAAGAAAATCAATAAAATATATAAATTATTATTAAAAGATTAATAAGCATAATAATTCATACTGCGTATTCTTTAGTAGTGAAACTGAATATTCATGTACCCAAATCTCTTCTTATTTGTAATAATGTTATTTTTCTTCTTTACTCTTATTGAAGTTTTATTGTTTTAAACTGTATATAATTTAAGGATTTTTTTTTCTAATACAGAGTAAGCAAACTGCTCTTCATTTAGCTGCTCAACAAGGGCGTTATGAAACATGTCGACTGTTACTTGATTTGAAAGCAGATCCCAATGCAACTGACAATGTAAGCTTTGCTGATTATTTTGCTCCATTTTTGCATCAAAGCATATGAGTTCTTAAATCGAATATTAACCAACTTCGAAATTTTAAATTAATCGTTTTTTAAAGTTTTTGTTTTGTTAATATTAAATATGGTATCTGCAGTTATATTCTTAAGTTATATTTGCAGCCATCTTGCAGTTGTATTTGTACTTAAAAAGCACATTATGGGTTTTAATTAATACTTGATTTAATGATAGAAAATTCAAAAGTGATTTATCTGTATCTTAAAACTTTATGTAACAATTATTTTGTGTTCACAGAGAGGCCAGACTCCACTTCTGCTAGCAGCTGAAAACGATCACTCTGAAGTTGTGAAGCTTTTCCTTCAACTCAAACCTGATCTTGTGACGAAAGCTAGTTCGGTAAACTCCCTTTTGACCTTTTTGATTGCATCAGTATCTCTTGCGCTTCATGTTCGTTATAAATTTAATACAATACATGATAATTTGTAAAATTAAGTCCAGTCTTTCTGTCTCAGTGCAACTCTTAAACAAACTGTATGTAGCTATTTAATTTCTTCTCAAAATTATTTTTTAAAAAAGGTGAACGTGCTTAGATAAATGTTGTCTTTCTTTGATGACACCATTTTAGTATTAGTTTTAAGATAATTCTTTTCTTTTTATAATGATATTATTTTGCAGAGTGGAATCACTTGTGGACACATAGCAGCCATGAAAGGGAGTGTTGCGGTTATTAAAGGCCTTATGAAATTTGATCCGAAACTTGTTACAACTGCTAGAAGTAAAGTAAGTACTATGTCAAGATATTCGATACAAAATGAGACTACAATGCATATAATTAAAAAACAAATAAATTTTTTAACTGTTGAGTAAAGCTTTATTTGTTTACAAAATCTCCACACATTTATGAAGAGATCAAGATGATAACGTACAACAGCTAGTATTATATTAAATTAAACATCATTTATCAAGATTTTTATTGACCCATTCAAGTAACTATGTATCACGGTAAGGTTGCTATCGATGGGCCGGCTCCATTATTTTCTAACCATTTTCATAGTAGGCGCTCCCTGTTGACTGTTTAGCATCGTACATTAAGCTTGAAACCCGCCATCTTGATTGAGAGTTGATCCACTCTCAAAGAAGGTTGCTTTACAAGAAGATAAGATTTTTGTACTATTCTTCTAATTTATCAATGTAAAGAAAATGTAGATATCAGTAAGTCGTTAATAGCGTTTTAGTTGTTACTGTGTTCAGTCAGCGCTATTTACTGTATTAAACAATGGTTGTTTCCTTTCTTATGTCCGAAATCACGGACGTGTTACACACCGACTGCTAATTGCCTTCAATGAGCCATTCTGCATTGCTGTGAATGGACTGGTGGTCCAACCATGGAAACCATATCGACTCTAATATTTTGTAACTTTTTCAAGTTGAAGAATAAAACGTCACTACAACTGATTTATTAAAAAGCTTTCAGGAGTAATTAAATCTGTAATTAGATAATGACCTCATTTTTTATAAAAATAATTGTAAGCTATTAGTCCAATTTTAGTGTAAACCGAAGTATCCCTAATTCGAGGGTAAAATGAATATTTTATTGAAATTATCGTAATGATTTTCGTTACTTATTACGTAATTTATACCTATATGTTGTTTTAAAATTGTATCTGCACAATAAATATAGTAAGGAACATGCATAGTGTAGGAATTAAGTGAGGAAATTAATTAATTCAGTGGTAGGGTAGGGCAAATCCTACTGTTGTTCTCAGCAAGAACTTTCAACCATACACACTTGCTGAGACTTTATAACAGGTTACCCAACAGAAACCAAATATGGTACTACAATTTTTGAGACAGATAATTACACGCTGCTTTTAATATAATAATTTAATTTGTATAATAAGCCGTTTTGAATAATAATAAATAAAGCTTAGCTGGACAAGCAGCTATGATAACAAAAACAGATCCTTAATAATATCAGGTTTTTTTAATCTATATTAACAATAAAATAATCAATATTTTGTTTTTGTTTTGAAATATGTAGCGTATATCATAAAATTTATGATATACACTACATATTTTTGCGATGTCATAGCAGCTTTGTGCTTTTCTGTCGTACATCTCTCATTTTTGATGTTAACCGTATAAAATCGGGGCAACCGCTGTGAAAAGACGACTACAAACTTCTGGACCGGAGAAGACAGTTAAAGGATAAACGTTCATTGCTTTCAGTAAATAGGCCTATCAATTCCAAAGAGGTTTCATGGTTCTGTGCTATCTGTTGTGATGACATCAAGAAAGACAAGATTCAGTGTCTATCGTGTATAGTTCATGAGAAGTGTGCTGGCGTTACAAAGGAGACCAAAGTATATTATTGCGAAAAATGCAACTGAGCTCATCAAGAACGAATAATTGATGCAGTAATTTGTGTAAGATTTATAGCCTAATATTAATAGCAGGCTTAATAATTATTTTATGCTATTTGAAAGTTTTCAAGTTAAGGTTATTGTTCTTTTTATACTAGCCTCACTACTACTCTCAAATTCTCATTGTCATTAAACTATTGCTAATAAACGAAATTCAATGTTGTTTCGTATATTCTCGTATTAGGCCTATTTTATGATTATAAAGACTAAACTAAAATCCATCTCCTTATTCCCTGTAAATAATGCAAAGCTATCAGTATGTTTCAATATATTTTCAGTGGCCTGTGCTTGTTTCTAACCAGCGTTTTGTATTTACAAATCATGCTTAAAATAGGTTTAACATTTTATTGACTTGTATTATGATGATACTGTATTAGAAATAATATGGGTTACAGCTGTAAAATGATGATTCCAAACATCTAGAAAGAAGGACAGTAAAGGCTAAACTTTCACTGCTTTCGGTAAATAGGCCTATTCAATTCCAACCAGCATTTATGGTTCTGTGTTGTTACTTCTGATAGCTTCAAGGATGTGTAAGGTGTGAATTCATGAAACGTGTGCTGGTGTAGAAGGGGGATGGGGATCAAAATGTATTATAGCAAAATATGCAACTGAACTCATCAAGGACTAATAATTGATGCAGTAATTTGTGTCAGATTTATAGCCTAATATTAATAGTAGGCTTAATAATTATTTTATGCTATTTGGAAGTTTCCAAGTCATGGTTATTGTTCTTTTATACTAGCCTAACTACAAATTACCTTCTAATTATCATTTTCATGAAAATGTTTCTAATAAACGGAATTCAATTTTATTTCTTAGATTCTCTCATTATGCTTATTTTATGATTATAAAGACTAAACTAAAATCCAACTCCTGATTACTTGTGAATAATGCGAAGCTATCCGTCTGTTTCAATAAATTTTCAGTGGCCTGTGTTAGTTTCTAATCAGCATTTTATATTTACTAATCATGCTGAAAATAGTTTTAAATATTTTATTGACTTGTATTAAGATGATACTGTATTAAAATGAAAATAGTTATTGTTCCATTCATAGAAACTCTCCGGCTCAATGAAGGCGACCTGTTTCCTTCATTGGGCCAGTGGCACCTATTTTTATTTTTCTAATATTTACTGAACATTTCATAATTATAACATCTATTCCAAGATATGTGTAGTATGGAAAGTAATAGTCTAATATTGACATGTAAAACTGTAAAATTGCTAAATTTGACGATTTTAAGGATCATTTTGTAAAAGTGGCCCATCGATAGCATCCTTCCCCTGCAATGGTATACTTAAAATTTTAGGAAAGGTATATCCAAGTAATATTTGTATGGAAAGGGCGAGTGGATATTTCTGAACCTAAAACAGATTATTCTTGAATGTTTAATATATATATATATATATATATATTGTGCTTTATAACAATAATTGGCATTCTTGTATTATTGATGCTTACTTTTTTAAACATGCGTAAATAAATGTATTTACGGAACACTATGTTTATATGATATAATCTTAAAAATATAACGTAACAACAGACGAGCATTTTTTGACACTGTGTGCAAATATGACGATGTCTATTAGCGAATTGATACATTGAAGCGACAGATCATACTTGCACATCCAAACTTGCTTAGCACGACTGTGAAACTTCTGAATCTGAATCTGTTTGTTTGTAATAGTAAACCCTCGTCGTGGAAAGGAAGCTCCTTGATAAATACAAGCATTTTGGGGAGTATCTTCAAAAACTTCGCTTTTTTTTTTTTTTTTTTTTGTGTTTTGTGTGGTGTGTGTGTGTGTGTGTGTGTGAAATACAGCTGAAACAAAGTTTTTACATTTTTGCTACCTCCATAACAATTAAAACTACTCCTCTATTACTTATAATTCTGTTTCTACATCAAGCAAGAATTTTCTGTCGCTCCAGGTAGCGATTATTAAGCACAATGCATCTGCTTCAGCAAAATGTCAATTAAAGTTAAATTCATTTTTATTAATTTGATGGAATGTAAATATTTTTTATTCTTCAAAAATAGAAAGATTCATGAAAAACTATTTTTATTGACAGAATAATTCTACAGCTCTTCATCAAGCTGCATCTGGTGGAAATGCCGAAGTAGTTCAAGTGCTATTAGAGGCTGGTGCTAATCCCACAGATGAGACAGATGTGAGATTACATAAAAATTTCTAAGTTTTATAAACGTACTTATTTAAGTTTTAAATTATTTTTGAAGTATTTCACATGAGGGACGATCAAAAAGCAACGCATATTGGTTTCATTTTCGAAAATTTCCACACATGAGCGAAATAACAACATTCACACTGCAGCTACATATCTTAGGTATCCTTCAGCTAGCACACAAACTGGAATGCTAAAGAGACACCTCTCAACTTGTTAGCAGTTCCAGTATATATTTTCTTGGGTGCATAACCACATGGCTTTATAGATTTCTTCATCCCAGCCGAAGAGTTGGCACTCAATAAATATTTTAAGGCATTAAACCGGCAGAAATCTATGTATTTATAAATTTCAAATCAAACTTTTCACGTTAGCCCATTAAAAAAGGCTGCAAAATCATTGTTTTTCAATCCGCATGTGAAACTAACAACCATGTTGTTTGTCTTGTAGTGCATGCTTCTTCTGCCTGAACGATAGATGATTAGACAAATTTATTGGTCTACAGTGCAGTAGTCAATGGTCTATATACTGCGATGCAGCCTGGGCAAAGTTTTCAGAGATAAGGCTTAAATGACCAATGGATTCGGTCATCCCTGAACAATGCTAAAGAAGCAAGTGTCCGGCTTTTGGAAAAAAAAGTAGTCTAGTGGTCAGATAATTTTTCTACTAACTTGCAAATTATTACCTGTTACTTAGAAATCTGAATGAGAAAATAATTACTGTAGATTGATCGTCTCTCGTAACTTAGCGCGAACTGTAAACTAAATTTTTCATTTACATTCCGCTTGGCAAGTAAACTCTACAGCTGCTAACTGTGTTAAAACGGTTGCTTTCAGTTATTGACTTCTCATCACAATTAGTCTAAGAATAAGTCTAAAATTTTTTTCTCAGTATCACTATATTTAGGAAAGTTAAAAATGAATCGCAGTTAAAATAACAATGTCGTATGAATGGACAAAGCATCTACTATAAACATAATTCAACTATCAAAATCGTAAAAACAACCTTGTATTTAGCGTAAGCATATTGAAACACTCAATCGATTTCGAGGGCAGCTAAAGGTCCCTCCTCATCAGGAGAAAGAAATACCAAGAAAGAAGAAAAATAAAGGGGAAGGAATCTCAGAAACACGTGGTCCTTATCAGCACTGCACGTGGTTATAACCGGATTTTTAATCAGAGTTACACTGTTTCCTCTGAATCTTTGCTTACCAATGAACTTAATTATTTGAGAGCAGTTGCGATTGACCGTGGATTTTCTCCCGTGATTATTGATAAAGCCGTTAAAAAATTTTCAGATTCCCATCAAAGAAGACATTCCACTGTTAGAAATAATATTAATGACCTTATCGTGCTTCCATTTTATCCTTCTGTTAGCTATAAAATTTCACGGATTCTCCAGAAATTCAATTTTCAAGTTGGTTTCTCCTCTAATAAAACTCACCCTTCGATTCTAAAAGATTGCGTTTCTGTCTTGAATTCTTGGGGAATTTACAGTATATCGTGTCAGTGTGGTTTAAGATATATTGGCCAAACAAAAAGAGCGTTGAAGTTTCGTATCAAGGAACATGAATCTTATGTCAGAAAAGGCGAAATTAACAAGTCTTTAATAGCGTATCATATGCAGTTGCCCCTCGCTCCCTATTTTTAACTTCGCTAATTTTCTTGTTCTTTGTGTTACATGTTTGATCAGATAGCCTGGCTCAGTAAAAGTAGGCGGCCAGTGTAACTCTGATTAAAAATACGGTTATAACTACGTGCAGTGCTGATAAGGAGCACGTGTTTCTGAGACTCCTTCCCCTTTATTTTTCTTCTTTCTTGGTATTTCTTTCTCCTGATGAGGAGGGACCTTTAGCTGCCCTCGAAATCGATTGAGTGTTTCAATATACTTACGCTAAATACAAGGTTGTTTTTACGATTTTGATTGTCACATTAGCGTGTTTCTCTTCTAGTCTAATAATTCAACTATTTTTAGTTCAAAACATAAGACTTTTCACATAGCAGCTAGCTCAAAGAGTCATTCTAATCACCATGATTTTCGTAATACAGAAGTATCTTTCTACTTAATACTTTTAATTTAAAATAAGGTTGCGGTTTTTTGTCCAAAAATTGAAGATAGTGATAATTCTACAAATTTATATAAGTTGGGGCTCGGTTTAAAGAGGAGAAATTCATGGTAATTTACAAGAAGAAAAGTAATTAGTAATTATTTTATGAAATATGGTATAAGTAATGCATTGGATAGTACCAAAGTTAGCTTGCTTTATAAGAAGATTAACAACAAAAGTTTACACCCTCAAGTCTAGACAATACATAAGTTTGTAAGGTTTTACCTGTATAGAAGCTTAAATCGATGTGCTTCAGACTGCACTAGACTTACAAGCGAGTTATCACTCTAGTCTGAATCAAAATGACAAAGTCTTGAGATAATTAAAATAACCCTTTTGTAAACACTTTAAATTTAACAGAAGACACAGCTTGTGTTTATAAACAAAAATTCACAGCTTACGAGTAAAATAGCATAAGTTGAAATTTAGTTTCAAGTAATGCAGTAAAGCTACGCAAAATAGTCTGCTTAAGTTGCCTCGAATATTGAACGGTGCGCTTTCAGCGTCGGCTAGCAAAATGGCTAAAGCTGGAATAAGCAGAGTGGCGATAAAGTGTAATTGCATTCGCGCTGCCAAAAGCTCGAACACTAAAGCATTCAAAACTCTCAACTTAAATAATCTTATAACTAATTTATATACTGGTGAAGACTGCGTAAAGAAGAAGTTATGGTAAAGGTTCAGCACATAATAATTGGTTAATTAATATAAAATATACAAGTTATAGTAATAGTTATTCATGCTGCAAAGAAGGAACAGGAATTAAATACTTATGAATGAAGTTAAAAAATAAGAGTTTTTTAAAAGCATTAGCATAATCAAATATTTTTTTCTAAAATAATTGCTAAAAATTTGGGGTGCCATACCTTTTGAAAACTACGGCTATAAAAGTCATTTGCATCGTTTGATCTGTATCGACAATTTTGGCCCTTAAAACGAGTAATGTTTATTATCAAATCAATTCTCAAACGTATCATTATTTCTTGATTACGTGCACGAAGCGTTTTACACGTTATGAGTAATAAAAATGTTTAATTGATAAGTACTAGGCTTTAGAAAAATTTGGTAAATAAAACTTAATTAAATAATTTTGTACCTATGATTTAATCAATTTCTTTTATTAAATGTTCTTATTTAAAGATAATTAACTAATTGCTTTATCTAGGAAGCTCATTCATTCTTTGGTAGATACCGACACTTTTACCTTTTTAAAAATGGAAACGTTCATATACTAAATTTGCTAAATTAATCAAAAACTAGCATAATAAAATTAAATATTATTACTTGTTATTAAGGCCTGTTCTTCCGAAAAATATAGATGCACATTTACATATGTCGGTTCCTTAAATACCTCCTTTATGTCTGGTCAAAGTCTCAAGGTCTAACTAAAACATACTAGTATTGTTATTAATACTTTCATTCACGTTTCTGTATATACTTTACTTTTTTCCAACAATTTCCGTAAAATATCTGAGCTTTTGAAATGTAATTTAAGTATTGAATATATTTTCTAATTCTTATAATACTTTTGTTGTAGACTGCTTTCATTTATATTAAGTTAACATGTATTATTTACAGGAAGGCTACACTGCTCTGCATATAGCAGCTAAATATGGTCATGTAGAAGTACTCCATGCTTTAAAATCTGCTATGTCTTGGAGGTACGCTAGTAAAAAGGTAAGCTATTAACTATTTCTTGACAAAAATATGTTATAACCTCTTATAAATAGCTATGTCGTGTTAAGTTTATGAAAAATACATTCTCAGCCACACATATCGAACACATTCCGTGAAATTTCACTGCTGTAACTTAATTGGTAAATGCAGTTTATTACCTCTTATTTTATTTTCTACCATAAACAGATATTTTTCCAAAGACAAAGACTCAAAGTGTGAAATCAAAGTAAAGGCAATTACCGAATTTTCAGTGCACAAAACTGAAAGTTTACTTTTGGTCCCACTCGACAAAACGACCCTGAAGTTGGTGCAGAAACTGACTTAATTCACTATTCCACTAAGGGTTTCAAATGTAAGCAAATGGCGGCTTCGTTAGGCTTAGTAGCAATTTAACAGCTTTTAAATTGTTCCTAATTCTACAACTATTGCCTGCAGATTAACTAAAAGCATGAACAGCTTACGTAACATAAAAACAACATAATTCAATCACTTTTAAAGCAAAAAATGCTCAATTTACCAACAAATACGAATAAAAATATAGAGCTCACCGAGCCGGTAACAGAGAGTAGATATATATATATATATACACACAATTTTGGGGCGACCGATTGCAATCAAAATGGGAGATGCACAACTGCATGTTATAGCAGTCCCATATTCAAAATTTCAACGGTCTAAGGGTCCTCGTTTTTGAGAGATACTCGCGAGATACATACGTAGGGGAAGGTTGCTATCGATGAGCCACTTTTACAAAATGATCCTTAAAATCGCCAAATTTGGCATACCGACAGGCAGTCTTTATCTACACCATAGCACTCTAACAGACTTTAAAATCATAAATCGCGATATTCTTTGATCTCTAATTCTCTTGATGAGTTTTTGACATCTGCTAAAGCAAGTATTAAAAATCCTTGAGGTCATTAGTATACCCTCTCAATACTCTACTCACCAAGTTTTACAACTGAATTCACAAGAGATAAACAGTTGAGACTGGACTCCTTTGTGTAGATCTACTGTATATATTTCTCAGATTCTGATATATCACTCATTCCTTCGATGTTTAACAAATTCTTAAACGAAATCCAAGAGGGAATAGTTTCTCATACATTCGCGGTTGAAATATGGGCTAATTTTATAATATTGAATTCGTTATTTTCTACATTATCCTAACTTTCTAGAAAGGCGTTACCTTAACTTTTATCTCTGGTATTACTTTGTTTACTTTAATTAAATATTCTTTCTTCATGTTTTACAGACTGGTCTCACAGCTCTGCATATAGCGGCTAGTTACGGTCAAGAAGATTTTGTAAGAGAGATGCTAACTCAAGTTCCAGCTACAATAACTAGTGAAAAGCCATCAGATAATCCAGATGCTGATGTAAGCTGTTATTTGCAGTTCATAGTAATTTCTGAAATCCAAATTTAGCGTAACATTTCTCTCTTAATGAATTAGAAATGGTTAGATAACCATCCCATTAAACGATTCAGTTATTAAAAGTGTGTCGAATAACTAAGGTTGATTCCGTACTCAGGTTTCCGTACAAGAGTTCTGAAACATTTTATGTCAAGCGTGAATTCGAAAATGACTGCTAAAAAGGGATAATTCAAGATTAATTTGAACCAAGAAATTAAGAGTATGCTACAGAAAGAACATTTTTGTAAACTAGAAAAAATGCAGTAAATTATCAGTGTATCACGAACATGTGATAAATGTAGCTTGTAAAGATTCAAACTGCTCTAAGTACCAACTTTTAAATGGCAATCTAAAGACAATAGAAGTAACGTTTATGTAACTACTCAGTAATATCTGAAATTTACTATTTACTTAAAGTTTAATATAATCATAAACATATAGTCCTAAATTTTCTTGTTAAAATGAAAAGTTAAAATAATGTTTTATTTTAATAGTATGGCTTCACACCACTGCATATGGCATCTCGTCATGGTAGAGAAGATGTTGTGAGAATGCTTCTCAACAGCGCAGGAGTTCAAGTAGATGCATCTACAACTGTTGAAGTAATTTCCATATAAGTTTCTTTGAAAATTAAAGTAACAATGAAAGAAGATGAATAATTTTGCTATTTAAATTAAGTTAGCATTGTGGGAACATATGATTGCTAAGTATAATTTGTTTGAAAGTGTATATATTTATCAAATATAGTATGTATGATTGCTTCCAAAGTAGATGGATTTTGAGTAATGAATCAAAATTACAGAATATCTTTTAGAACACATTTAAAAAACTATGCAATAAAACTTACGAACTGATTCGAATTTCTTATTCATTAGGCCACAATGCCTCTTCATTTAGCAGCTAAAGGTGGTCATTTAGCAGTTGCAGGCTTGATTCTAAGCCGAATAACTGATAAATTTCATTCAGGAGATAAAAGAGGACGAACGCCACTTCATATGGCTGCAGCGAATGGTCATGAAGATATTGTTCGCTTACTTCTTGGTCAGGGAGCAGACATCAATGCAGCTGACAATGTAAGTGCCTTTTAGATTTTAGGAATTTAATGTTATGTTGCTTCGTTTTTTCTGTATACGAAGTTTCACTACTTATAGTAACTTTCATTCGTTACTAAATGTTTAATTCATATGAAATGTCAGAAAGATTTGTTTTCTTACAGAATGGTTGGACTGCTCTTCATTATGCAGCCAAACAAGGCTACCTCGATATGATTCAGCTCTTGATTGACAGCGGGGCTTCATCAATAGCATCTGCAACAGTAAGAATTGTGTATTTCTCTACTGTCTTGATTCAACTTCAGAGCTGAATATTACCATATTATTTCTTCAAATTATGTATCATTTCTTTATAAAGTTCTTATTCATTATTTTCCATTAAACTTCCAAATAATATACTGTGCCTAGAAAATTGTATTTAATGTAGACAAATGACAGAAAATTTCTATTTTTGAAGGAATAAGATTTGCTCTCCCGACCACAATTCAGTCAAATAGTTTAATCAAATTTTAAGTACTTCTATAATTCTTTAAATCTAAGGAAGGGTAACAACTTCAAAGATAAAGCCCTTAATTAATTAAATTCAAATGCTAACATCATGTCTAAGGTTAGAGTAAAGTTCAATGCAGGACGTCCACAGTGCATCCTTGTTTGAAACCTTTTAGGAAATGCAGTAAAAAGTTTAAAGTGACAAAAGTAATAAATGAAGAATAGTTTTTAATAGTACGTAATATATAACTAAAAAACTAAAATGGATTCTGAGTTCTTAAAAACCTAAATAAAACTATTTAGTAATGCAATCTGAAATATGATTACTCATGATGGAATAAATGTATCAGATGAAATTCTGCATATTAATAAAGGTCCTATACGTATGCTTATTTCAGTTTGTTTTAAAATTATTGCAGTTCTTGACTATTATTATTTGATTAATTACATAAAAATCTTTGTTGATGTAATTTGTATTATAAGTTTTCATGCTTCCCTTTTTTTTTTCCTGTAAGCGACTCCATAATACCCAAATCTCAATGGCCTGTAATCTGAGATAACAAAAATCAGCTGACTTTAGCATTTACAGCACATACGACTAATAAAAATATTTGTTTCATTTTCGATATGCAACCAACTATGCATACTAAATTGTTAAAAAAAGCGGATCAAATATAAATGCATATTTGTAACGTTTATTTTAGCTAACATATTGTTTTTATATGAGTTCTTTACTGTATCTTCTATTCATTCCGTCCGTGATCACCAACAAGCATATTAGGGTTGAGTTTAAATAGCGAGAGAATTTGTAGTTTAGGGATAGATTCTGTGGTAATCCGCCAGAGAGATCTTTATTTTTAAAGTGTCCACCTGTGTCCCGATCTGCATTTCGGTGAGGATTTCGTATTATTTGTTAACTCGCAAGGCTGGGAGTTGCAATAACAACTGACGTGAAGGTTATCTTCTGTGTTGTATGTATTTGAATATTTGAATTTTCCGAAATCACTGTAACTAATTGTTCTTCGAGCTACCTGCCAGCCTGAAATGAAGCAACAATGCAGCAAAACGAAAATGCAGTGAAGTGCAGCAAAACGAAAATGACATTTACGTTTTCTTAATAATCCCACTTACAGATATGTCAAATTACTTGCAACCCTTTAAAATGCGTCTTCTGTGGCAAGACTTCGATTTAACAAATTTAATTTAATTCCGTTCAATGAGTTTTTATCAACAAGCAATTATCTATATGCAAGGATAATTTTGTTCACTATTGTATGTATATTATATAATTCTATAAGTATTGCCAGCATATTTTTGATCTTTTCTTTTTCTTTTGTTTAATTTTTAGCCATGTATTGACGTAGTTCCTATTCTCACGAGAAATATTTTTTTCATGCAAGTCATAATATACATTCACGAATTTAACTAAAACGCACCTTAGTTAATATATCGTTCCCTTTTGATTTTTACTTTATTCAAATAAACTTTATCACTGAATTCTATTGAACAAGACTGGAAGAAGGGAATATGTAGTAGTTTTGTTTCCTTATTTAAACTAAACTGTCATTTAAGCAAATTTCTTCGAAAGTAGCCCTTAATTAGAGTTAGTATACATTTCTTAGTTTCCTGCTTATCAACTTGAAATGCATTTAAGGCAAATGATAACTTTCTTTAAAAACGCTAGCTTAAGCTGTTCTATACATTAAATTAGCCAAGCTAATTACTTTCAATCAGGCTTTGCCATGTAACTCATAACAGCATCTCGCAAAAAATTAGTTTTGTGAAACCTCAATTAAGAAAACATACAATTCATAAAGAAAAGCAAGAGAATATGAAACGAATTAAAAGAGGTAGAATTTTTAGAAATTTTTCTAGTCATTTCCATTATTCGTGGGTATCAGCCATCGATAACTCATACTTAATACTGTGACACATATTGAAAAAATAAGATCAGTATCTGAAATTTATCGAAATATTACGTAAAAAAACAGCAAATCGTTATCTGTGTGCTGGGCATCGACGCTGTTGTCTAACGATGTCGATGTCCAGCCCAGAGATATCAAATAAAATATTGTTGCTATAATTTCCTTTGAATGAGAGCAAGAAATATGTTTATATTCCGTGACTCTAACATGAAGTTTCTAATCAATTAACGCTTCTACTAAAAGAGTGGCGATCGAAGTTTTTTCAGCACGAGAGAAAAAGAGAAGAATTTCAGTTCAATAAACTGTATTCATTGATAGCCATCATTAAAACTGCTCCTTTTTTTAACAACATGAAGATCAAATTTATATAATTTTATTAATCTCTAATTCTTTAAAAACCTCAGGAGAAAACAATCTTATGAAGCTAATAAAGGAACATAGCAAAGCAAATAATACAGCGATATAATCGAGTTCTGCTGCTTTTTAAACTTTTTTTGTCTTTCCTTTTTAGAAAAAAATACATATGTTATCTCATTTTGTGATCGTGATAATTATTTTAATTTTTTTGCCAAACAATAGAGTTCATGTCTAGTACTTATATTTCATTTTAAAGTTCAATTTTCTGTAGTCTGTTTCTCCTTATAGTATTACTAATAACTAGAATTAACATTTGCGTATGGGAAGCGAAACAAATGCTATTGAGCGTGACTTATTAAAAAAGCTAGTGACTTGGTTTATATTTAGATGGAATTTTGAGAAAAATAAAATTGTTGTCTTGCCGGTCTTTTTTAAGGGAAACTACAAGACATCAGTAAAGGTTTTGCGAAACACGTTCTTTTTCCTTCATATATTACAGCTGATCAGAAATCGAATTGAAAGGAAATGTTGTTCCAGTCAATGACTTCTATCGACAACACAACACACAGTTGGTCATTAAAATTGCTACTTCGTGAAAAGGAAGCTCACAAGAAACCTGAAATTTGCATAAAAGATACAACATGTTGGCACATGTAAATTATTATCATTTCACTGTTTGCATTTATTACAGGCAAGAATCACATCGAAGCAATTTAAAAAGGCAGATTGAAATGCCAATTTTTATTCCGAAATTGCGATTACTGATTGTGTTTCGTATTGGAGGTTGTATTATGTCTAATGCAACAAGAAGAAGCTCACCAAAAACCAGCAGATCTCAGGAATGGATTCCGAGCGAATTTTAGCCTTCCGAGACTATGGATTATCGTACCGTGCAACTATACTGCTCGCGTTGAATGAGACCCAGTCACTTCTATGAAAATTTAAAATAGATGGGTCCAGAAGGACCACGCATAGGCAGATTTCTTGTGTTTTTGGCAGATTTCTTGTGTTGCTAGATCTCAACAGCCCCATTCATCAGTGCCCTGAGACCATAGACATTTTGTTCGAATTCTTGTTTGGAATCGCACAGCCATACCATGCATCTTCCATCAGGAAATTTTGTGTGCTCCAAAGCACTAAGTACCCGCACGTACCATGCGATGACGTCTGCAATGCCACAAATTATAAACAAAGGCAACCATTGATTCGGCTTCTCTTCGGGTTACAGCTCAAAAGTCAACAGTGATGCGTTTAAATCAATGGCGTGATGTGGTCTAACAAATTACACTTTTGCTTACAGCATCAACTTGATCCTATCCATGAGAGGAGGCATCGACGGGAAAGAAAATGAAAGCTTTTATTCCTCATTGTTGTACTACCCCAGCACTTGAAATTCATGGCTCGTTCACCTCTAATTCGCATATCTGGGGCTTTGACCATCCTTGCTGCATTACTGAGGTTTAAGTGCCAGTGTCTATGCCATATTTTCGAGGTCTCTGAGGCTTCATCTTTTTAGAAGATTATTCGAGACTGTGTTTTGCTACATTTCCTTATTTAATAGTTGTGTTCCATTCCTACCCTGATGGACGTTCTTCAGATCACTCACGAATTTAAAAAGGTTCTTCAATCATTGGAGAGAGAATATTCGCATAGTTGTGAAGTCACCTGCATTGCAGTATTTCGAAATGTCATCCAGAGTCTGCTAGACACCATTCCCAGCAACGGCTGTTGTTGCCAGAGGCACATATTTAAAGCTCTGATTTCTGCGTTTCCTGTGCCTCAAAATAACTTGAAATTTTAATCATTTGATCATTCTTTTATAATTTCTAAAATAAATATGATTCTAAGACCTACTTTCTTTCGTGGTGTTGCAATTTTAGCGGCCAGTAGAGTAAATTTTAATAATGAAATAGTCTTTTCAATAACTTTGAAGTAAAACTAAAGTGTTTTCTTTCAAGTATAAAATCTTATGCTTTAACTGGATTCAGTTATTAAATATATTTTAAGCTAAACTGATTTCTTATTGAAATCCAAAACAAAAAATTATGCGAATTTTCTGTAAAGTGAACCAATAACTTACTTCAAAATTTTGCATTTGGTTTTGTCAACTTTGTTTTTATAACGTCTTTAGATCTGTTAGGAATTCATTTAATCAACTGTAAAATGAACGTGATTCTTCTGACCGCTTTCCTCCGTGGTAAAACAACTTTAAAGGCCAGCAGTTTATAAGAATATACAAAATGCCTTGTGAAACGGAGATCCTGTAATTTTGATCAAAGCAATGCTAAAAAGCCTCTTCTGTATTTTTAATATATTAGTTAGGAACTTAACTCACATCTAGTATTTAAAACACCTCATGAGTTTGAATAATGAGTAATTATTCATTTGTTACTTAGATTAATGAAAGGCCTTCAAGATATATTATTTTAAAAATATTAAACATACTTGTCTTTGTTTATTCAAGCATTGATTATCATGCCTATCTATTGCTA